CCCCCCCCCCCGCAGCCGCTGTGCGAGAGCTGCCCCCCTCGCGCTCACCACAGGGCAGGAGTCGAACTGCAGAACCACATGCTGGAGAAAGGCCATGAGATAGGCCGGGTGCGTCTTCACCACCACCATGCTCTGGAACACGCTGCTGTGGTCCTCCGGCGTCTGGGGGGGGGGACGGCCTGGGAATGAGCCCCCCGCTGAGCCCCGAGGCACCCCCCCACCCCCCCATCCCCTCCCCTACACCCCTTCCCTCCACACGCCCCATCCCCCACTCCCTCATCCCCTCCCCCACCCCACTCCCCAATGACACAGCCCCCATGGCCCCACCCCTGGGACCCCCCATCTCCCAGGCCCCCACTCACCGGCTCAATGTCATTCTCAAAATCCTCGTCCTCAGCCCCGATGATTGCCACGCTGGACCCACTGTGGGCGCCCGGTGCCGGGCCCTGGGGGCAGAAAGAGAGGGTGGGATGGGCCCCATGGGGGAGGGGCAGGGGCCCAGAGAGGGCACCAGGGGGAACAGAAAGGGGGAGGGATTGAGGAGCCCAGGGGGGAAGAGCCTTGGGGAGCCCCACCCCCAATTTTAACCCCCGACCTGCGTGCGGAAGGGGGCTGGGGACAAGCAGGCCCTTCAGCAATAGGGTATTGGGGACCCCTCCCCTCCCCCCACCACTCACCCCGTTGTACGGCTCGTCCAGATCCATCCTGCCCTTGGGGGGGTCCCAGCTGCCGGCTCGGGGGGGACCCACCTGCCAACAACACCAGGGTAGGTCACAGGGGCGCAGGCAGCAATCCCCGGCCCCGATCCCTCCCTGCCCACATCCCTCCCCGGCCCCGATCCCTCCCTGCCCCCCACGGGTCTCGATCCCTCCCTGCCCACATCCCTCCCCGGCCCCGATCCCTCCCTGCCCCCCATGGGCCTCGATCCCTCCCTGCCCACATCCCTCCCCGGCCCTGATCCCTTCCTGCCCCCCCAGCCCCGATCCCTCCCTGCCCCCCCCAGCCCCGATCCCTCCCAGCCCCGATCCCTCCCTGCCTCCCACTCCAGTTGAGCCTGTCTCAGCCCCCC